GAGTTCTGTGTTCCCAGCGCCTCCCATGGTAGTAAATCTATACTACCCTAATACCAGGGTATCAGGCAGAATTCCTTGGAGGCCTGGGTCACTGGTTCCCCCATGACTAACCACTAAAACCCCAAACCAAACCGACTGCCATCAAGTCAATTCTGGGTTTCCAAGGCTGTAAACAGATGTAGACAGCCCCATCTTCCTCCTGGGGAGTGGATGGTGGGTTCGAACTGCTGCCCTTGTGGTCAACAGCCCACCCACCGCATAACCACTATGCCACCAGGCTCCTACTCACTCATGACAGCTGAATCCTGGCAAGCGCTAGACGGGCTTCTGGGCTGCTCCAATCATACACAGGACCCACATGGAGACCATCCAGAGAACCCACCCAGGTGACCTCGTCTGACTGACCAACCCTGGAGTCAATTTGACTAATTGAGACCCCCGTGTTTCAGAGGTGAACTGCCTGTCGGGGTTTTCTGGACTCCAATCCTAACAGAAGCGGACAGCCAGGCCTCTTCTCCCCTGGGACAACAGAGGGGGGCTGGACTAGCCAACCTTGAGCTCAGCAGGACAAGGCAAACCTTTTGTGCCACCTGCGGACCCTGCACTGACACTCAGCCATTTAAAAACGTAGACATTCTGAATTCCTTACTTGCCATTTCTCAGCCTCCACCCCCACTGTCTTTTCTCTGGTTGCTTTTCAGCCTTTTACAGCCCCCATGTAAGACCTGGACCACCTAAAACATCATTTACTCCGATCTTAGCCATTCTAACGATCTGGATTGTCCTTTATAACTTTAACAACAGGTATGAACTGAGCGGTCCTTATGACCTATCTAAATAGTAGGCGACAAGAGGAAACCAAGAGGGGCTGTGAGTGAAGTGGACAGGAGGAGGTGGGGGTCTTTCTGGAATCTCTACAACAGGTTCCTCAGCCCAGGGAATGCCAGCTCCCACAGAGTCTCACTGTGGGAGACTCACAGATGAATTTTAGTTTCCCACTTGGGCCTTAAGTCATGCTGTCCAGGGGGCACTCTTGACTCGAGGAAGCAGTGCGGCTCACGGACATCTCACACAAGCTTCTTCTGGAGCGAGCCTCACGAATAAAGAACCATTTGACTGGGGGTAAACGGCACCAACACTTGAGCAACAGATTTCTTTAAAGGCCACCACTGAGTGGTCTTCTGTGTGAGAACCAACGCAGCGCGAGCCATGACCTTGCCCTCAGAGAGCCTGTGGTCTACGGATACACGGGTGGCCCTCCGCATCCTCAGGGAGTCTGTGAGTCTTCGGGCCCCTGGCCTGGCTCTGTGTGGACTACCTTAGGTGAGCTAGATGGGACGACGGGACCAGCTGGGGTTGGGCATCTCTGGTGGACCAAGTTAGGGATCTTGTTGCTGGCCAGGCTCTTCTGATTACCTTGTACAGTGCCTTGGGACACCACATGGCCCCAGCTCTACATTTTGGTCTACATTCGGAATCAGCTGGGCTTCTATTCTACTTGTGTCATACATCTCCTCGATGCTTATCCAGAGTTTTTACCGGAAGTTAATCGTTTTGGCATCTAGCAGCCAAAGGAGCCCTTGTGGCACTGTGGGTGAAGCTAACCACAAAGCCAGCGGTTCAAACCCACCAACCATTCTGCAGGAGTGAGATGAGGCTGGCTGTTCCTGGAAAGACTGACAGTCTCGCAGACCCCAAGAAACGGCTCCATGCTGTCCCGTAGGGTTTTCCCTGTGTTGGAATGGACTCTGTGGGAGAGTTCCTGAAGCAGATGCCCACCAGGCCTGGGAAGTCTGCCTGTACAACCTTCCTCTGATGAGCGCACAGGGCTGCTCACTTAACCAGCACCTTGTTTTAAGACGGCGCCATCTCCGCCAATGGAGGGGCACAGGGCAGTTGTTGAGCAGCCACGTCTTTCATTTTCTAATGACCCAGTCATTTCCAAGGGCTTCCAGATAATGGGACCATTGTTTGTTCATGCAACTAGTATCTCCATAGCTGAGACGGGGGGAGTGTTTTCAGAAAAGAGTCCCAGAGAAAAGGCTAAGGGCAAATAGAAGAGAAACTGAATGACGGACTTCAGTACACTCATGCAGATCACCGTCGTTGGGTGGATAAAAACATTCTCTGGAAAGCCCTCCTTCTGAATTCAGGATCGAATTAGAAGCACCATCTCCGTGCAGGAAGTCTTAATTTCTGGAATGTACCAGCATTTCCCTTTCACTGGGCAACTTTATTCAGGGGACGCTTAGGTGGTTGAGGGAAGAGACTCAAGGGATCCCAGAGGCCACCAGGGAATGGCTCCTCCCAGGCAGAGGGCCTTGCCCCAAGATGATGGACATGAGAATCGATAGCGTGTGTCTCCCAATGCCGTCTTCTAACCATGTGGAAAATGGCAAGTTTACACATAGCCACAAGGGTCAGGAGCAATGGAGAGGCAGGGTCTGGGCAGTAGCTATCTAGGCTACCCTACCCCGACAGGCTGTCTTCTGGGAGAGTGTCTGGAGGGCAGGTGGAGAGAGGGCATTCTGAAGGGATGGGGCCCACCCTGACACTGGAGGTGACTCCTGAGAGGCACAGATGACCCCTGACTCCCTCACAGGCCCTATAGAAAAGGGCCGCTCAATCCCAGGGGCAGCCGTGGAGAAGCTGGCCGTAATACTAAGGTCACCGAATTCCATGTTCCTCCACGGCAGCGGCCAAAGCAGGATCACGGAGTCGGTGCATCTCCAACCGGCTACCTGGTTACAGACCCCTTGCTTGGATGGGTCTTCTCTGGGCAAGGTCACTTGTCCAGAACTTAGGGACGCACTCTGAGAGCAACCGCACTCCAAATCACCTGAAGAGCTGGGTTGGGCCACTAGCAGCGCCTCCCCTGCCCGGCCCTGCTTCTCTGCCGCCATTCTCCTGAGGCCCCCTTGACCGGCACTGCGAGGGAGGGTGGCCGGTTGAGTGGAGCGCCACGGTGGGGGTGGGAGAGTGAAGCGTTGGAGCTCCGTTGGTGAGCTACCAGAACGTGTGGGTGGAAAGGACTGCTATCAGGAGTTGGGAGTGGCAGGAGTCAGGGGCTTCTAGGGACACGGGACACCAACTTCTCTGCCAGGAGTGGGTGAGCAGAGGTCAACGGAGAAGGTTCTAACTACCCGTTGATCTCCCCTGCCAACCAGGAGGAGCCAAGATCTGGAGATGCTTGTTCTCCGAGCCCCCATGGCTAGCACCGGGGAAAGAGATTTGCAGGGCCACACCGTGAAGCGCGCTGTGACCGGCAGGCCTCCTACCGCCACACAGAGAAGCCCGGCAGAGAGCCAGGCCACGCTTAAACCAGCACGAGCCAACCAACTGTGAGGCAAAGGAGCTGCTCGCAGGGCAGGTGTTGGAAGCAGATGCAGGGCATCTGGGCCGTCCAAGGCCAAGTTAAGTAAGATTTTCATCTGGGCCTGGTGTCTCCGTCGAGAGATGCGACTGGATCCGAACAGGAGGGGAGACCAGGGTTCTGAAGGAGGCACGTGGCCTAGGTAGGAGATCAGTAGATGGAAGGTGGAGAGTAGAAAGGGCATCCCCCCTGCTCCCCCCTCACTGGAAG